AAAATTACGAGCTGTGCAATTTTGCATTTTACGAAACATTTGGTATCAAAAATGTCTCCGTTACAAATCTATACTATTATAATAAAGCGTAATCACACACTTCTTTCTTGCCTAAGATGTCGGCAATTGCAGCATATTTTTGAATAATTCTTTCTTATATAAAAAGCCCTACATTTACGTCACCCTTTGAGCTATGTATATATTTTCACGCCATTAAAGTCAAGGGATAAATATTTTGGATAATAACCCTAATTTGGAAAAGAGACCATAAGTTGCTGCCAACATCAAGAAAGCAAAATTGCCATCGTCATGTCATTTTGACATTTGCAATTGATAATTTGACACTTGTAAACAATAAAATAAATTTTTCATAACTTTATACAGATAAAGTCACACGGGCACAGCTAGTGTTTTCATACAATGTAATTTAAAAAAAACGCGTATCTTAAGCAAGCAATCCACTAATCAGTTAACATTATATAATAAGCAATATAAATTAAGATAGCTGTATTAACTTGACAGGGTAATATCAAGTGTCTGGATTGCAACCAGTGGAGTTACTTCATCAAGTAATCCTTGAGTTAGTGCAGTCTGCGAGTCTACAAGAAACAATATAACATCGGCAATACGACACCCGCAGTGGAACGCGCAACTCAAAAGCGGTAGCGATAGACTAGATAAAATATTTACTTTATTACCCCAAAAATATGATTAAAAACGTTTCTTGAGAAAAGTGTTTTAATTCTATGAGCCAATTCTTCGAATGTATATATTTTAACAAAAATATGTAAGAATATTATTTAAGCTTAAATAACTTTAAATGTTAGTCTTGTTAAATTGATCGAATATTTGTTTTTTGTTAAAGTATAGATGGTAAACTTGTGTTTTTGTCTCAAGGCAATTTTAGGATTTTGAATTTCAAGTGGTTAATAACACCAATTAAACCCTACATTACTACATGTTGTATCTTTTATTGCAGAAGAAAGATTATCGTATATTCTTATGAATTGGACCACACAATAATTTATAGTAGGAAGATGCGACAGGGAGGCGGCAATTAGCCGTCTTAACGAACGCTTGAAATGAATATCATTCCTTGATTAATGTTGCGACGTGATAAATATGTTGTTATAACTCACCGCGACCGCACGGACCACTCGCGGGCGCAACAAATTACTGTCATTACTAAAAAAGCACGTTTAAAAGAGTTCGAAATAAAGTACCCTGTATTTTCTATTTATTTTTTTAGTTACTAACTGAATAACCTAATAACACACGAACCTAATAACACGAATACGGATATGATCACGCTGTTGGTCCGCAGGTTTCTTTTGCAGTTAGGAGACGCCGCAATAATTTCGCCCAGAGTACTTTAACCGTCCCTATGTAACTACACCATTTCCTCTGCCAATATAATATGAAATGCATATAATATAAAATGCTAATACTATACAAAAATAATGCTAAATTACTTTTGTTATAAAAAAATCATTTCTGTTTTGAATTCGTATACAATAAGTTCTTTAACCGGCCCTTAAACATTGCTTGAAACGAATTTCATTCATTCTCCCACAAGTTCTACGCATGATATACCATTTCCATTGCCAGTCTTAATCAGCTTAGTTCTTGATCTGAAGAGACAATCGCATCAATGGAATGCAACATAGAACGTTACTCAGCACTTACCAATAGATCCGCTTGATACTAGCACAGTGTATTCTAAACACATCTAAGTAATATATGTTTCTTCTCCATTAACATTTTGGCAGCCCTAATGTTCTCCTTAAAAAACATAATTTTATCTTATAAAGACGAAGCCATAAAAATTAGTATGTCATATTATAGACTAGATATTTTTTTATTCTCTAGCTGCTAATGACGAAATATAAATTACTAGCTTTCGCCCGCAACTCCGTTTGCGTGGAATTAAAAAACCAAAATTGAATAGCCTATGTGTTCTTCCAGACTATCCTCTATGTCAAATTTTATCGAGATCCGTTCAGCAGTTTGGGCTACAAACTCTAACGATCCATCTAAACTTTCGCATTTATAATATTAGTAAAAAAGATTTGAAGTGGGATTTAGTAAATTAAACCAAGAGGATATACGTAAAATCGATTTAATTTGAATAAAGTTTGTAGTTTTCCAACAATTGGTGAATAATGACATTAACAGACTAAAAAAAGGTTTTTAGACATTCCATTACGTAAACTTTAATTTTTAATCTGCTATACATAACTTTTAGATAGATTTAAATTAAATGAGATGTTGATACTGCAAGAATTGTGCATACCATATCTATGTAATTACAATAAAATTTAATACTAACTTACAGATACCTTATAAATACTATAAAAGCGAAATCATATTAAAATATAAACAAATTTCATTGAGAATGTTTGATACAAAATGTACAAATATATATAAAGTAGGATATTTCACAAGTATTACATTTACATAAAACGTATACATTTAGTAAGGAAGCTTTTATAGCTTCTATAGCCGTTTATTTTAAGGAACAGTTTCGTAAAATTATTTGATATTGATTAAGATACCGAAAAGTACAGTAAAATCCGCTTAAGGGTGTGTTCACGTTGAACGCGCGGGTTCACATTTTCCGTCAGGCGTTGGTGACCAGTTCAAACCCGATTTGGCCCTTATAGGCAAAGTGACTTTCGATAACGAAATCGCTAATAGAATCTTTACCATACCGCCAATAGCCTAATGGGTAAGTGTACGGCTTTCCGATCAAATGGTCGAAGGTTCGAATCCCGATTTGACTATACAAGCCTAGAGCTTAGTTGGAATGGTAAAAGATACATTAGTAAATTATCAAAAATCTCCTTTAATACAAAAAACTTTCACAATGTGGCAAAATGTATGACTACGTGACATAGATTTTTACTTCTTTAGTACTATCGCCAATCGAATGTAACTTTGCCTTAAGGGGCTAACATGAACTCGCATCATATATCGCGAGCGCTCACGCGAGTCAACTTTACAAGTACTAATACAAGCAATAAGATGCTGTTATAACAACTAATAAACCGTAACACGTTACAGTTATTGTAACCGGTTGTCACTTCTTTTGCCTTTTTGGCAAAGTTTTTTGTCAATTCTGACGTCATTAGTCAATAATCCTACAAATAAAATCCATTATTGACGCTAATAAAATTATTTTTGTTTATTTTATTTGATATTTTATAGTAAAACCCAGAGTTGGGTAATTATTCAATTTCATAGTTATTTATCTACACTAAAGTACAGTTAATTTCTTTTTATACTTCATTGCTGAATATTTTAAACTCTTAAAAGATTGAAGTCTATATTTAAATTTTACTATTAGATGTGACAGTATTACAATATGAATACAAATCGAGTGTTTATTTGGAAGAAAATTGAATATATCTAGAATATTATTTCTATGGTT